ACTTTTTGTGCGCAAAAGAAAAAAAAGAAAGACTTTATTCAACAATTCGTCTCCTCCGCGTCACCCTGGTGCCATTTTGGAGAATATCAGCTGGACGTAAACAGCGTATGTTGTTCTGTGTCAGCTGCGTCACGCGGGTATGTTGTTTTCATTCAAATCAAAGCGCAAACAACGTAGGAAACATATCTGCGTGGCGCAGCTGACACAGAACAGCATATGCTGTTTACGTCCAGCTGATACGCTCCAATTTTACTGATCTCCTTGCTACGTTTCTGGACTTGGGAATATTTCAGTTGCGTTGCTGTCTATGCAGGGTCAGACAGCTCTCAGATTCCATCAAAAATATCTTAATTTGTGTTCCGAAGATGAACGAAGGTCTTACGGGTTTGAAACGACATGAAGGTGAGTAATTAATGACAGAATTTTCATTTTTGGGTGAACTATCCCTTTAAGAGTTTCACATGCACATCTTAAATGACTTGTGCTTTTATCACATTTGAAGCATAAAAGATGGCTTAACATGATTTAAAACAAGACAAAATGTGCTTTGAAATATGCTAAAATTACATAAACTGACCTCACAATAGTTAATATTTTATTTTGTTGCCTCAACAACCGTCATATTTAAGGACCAGGATTCCCACAGTCTTGGAAATAAAACTTGGATAAATTAGGGTGTGATTTCTAGACCGGGAAAACTCACTCACAAAACTAAAAAATATATAGGCCATGGAAATTTATATGATGAATATACTTTTTTTTATTATGTTAAACTCTTAAATATTTTATTAGGTAGAAATTGCTATTTGTATTTGTAAATAATAATAATAATAATAAATGTAACTGTCAAAATAAACTATCAATAGTTACTGAAAAATTCATTCTGGAATTATAGAATTTATTATTGTTGTTGTTGTTATATAAATTAATTAATTAATTATTTTGGTAAATTCCCCCTCTTTAAAAAAAACATACAATGCATAAATACAAAATATCAATTAATATAAATAAAAAAATATAAATAAGAATATGCATATTCTTTCTAACATCAAGCTTTTAGGTTAATGTATAATATTCATAAGGGAAAGTGCAAAATTCTAAATCTGTGAACAAGTTTTTCACAATTTTTTATTATATTTTTGTAGATTTTAAATAGTCCATCCGTGTGAAAAAACATTCATTTTTTATGTGATCTCTTAAATAATATGAGACAACAACAACAACTATTCTTATTGTTATTAATAAGAATATTTACTTTAAGTTTTGCTGCTCTTATGTTGGCACAAATCATTAATGAATATTATTCTAAACAAAAAAGAAATGTATTAACAAAATAGCTACTACAACAATAATTAAATTTAATAATTTAATTTAATTTACAAGAATTACAAACATGCTGTTTAAAAACGTATATACCCATATCCAGGCTTTCTCCACCTTTGGACAAATGAATTTCCTCTGCTTTTTATTTGGATGAAGATTTGGAAAATAATTTTATAGAGACAAACAGCAATTTCTAGCCAATTAAACATTTTAAAGCATATTTTCCATGACCAAAATTTTATAGTATTTTCTCCAGTTCGAAATATTAAACAATTCACTGATATGCAGAGGCGGACAAAGTACTCAACTCCATTACTTGAGTGAAAGTACAGATACTGCTGGTCAAATATTACTCCATTACAAGTAAAAGTTGTAAAGACAGATTTTTACTTAAGTAAAAGTACAGAAGTACGTGCTTTTAAAAGTACTTAAGTACCAAAAGTAAATTTCCTTTTTTATGTCAATGCACATATTTTTTATTGTTGTACGTAATACTTGCAATACCTCTGAAGCAACTTACAATACAGT